TTTAGATGGAAATTATCATGCTAAAGTAATTAATAACTAGAGTAGGCCGATTTGAATAAACTGAGGATGGGAGAGAAGTTGACTCACCAAATCCCCACTGATACAGTGGGTCTACTATAGTGCGGCGTACTACTGTACGCTTCTCATCAGGATTCCAGCCAATAAAATCAGACTCCTGCCCTGTTCCAGAATTTTGCCTGGAATTGATGCCAGGCTGACTGGCCTGTAGTTCCCAGGTTCCTCTTTTTTGCCCTGTTTGAAGACAGGGACAACATTAGCCCTCCTCCAGTCTTCTGGCACCTCAACCGTTTCACATGATTTCATGAAAATAATGGATAGCTGTTCTTCAGCCACTTCCTTAAGTACTCTCAGATGCAGTTCATCTGGCCCTGGAGATTTGAAATCATTCAAGGTGGTAAGGTATTCCTTGACTATTTATTTCCAGGTGTAATCCTGCCTCCCACACTTGCCCTTTCAATTTGTTTGGAAGTCCACAGTCTGTCTTATGGGAAAAGACTAAACTAAAATGGGAATTGAGCACCTCTGCCTTTTCTGTGTCCTCCGTTATCATTTTTCAATCTCCATTGTGGAGCTGTGCCACTATGTCTTTTGCTACATACATACCTGAAGAATATACAATGCTTCATGCTGAATCACTATGGCCTGATCCAGTTGGGAGTGGGAAAGTTATGGGCACCCAGATACTAAAGCCTTTACACACTATGACTGAAATCCTGTTGCTCAGCCTAAAGTCACATTAGAACATGATAAATCCAGTGGGAATTTAGTGAGACAACTCCTCGGAACATTCCATCGATTCAAATGGGCCTACTCTAGTTGGAAATTATCATGCTAAAGTAATTAATAACTAGAGTAGGCCGATTTGAATAAACTGAGGATGGGAGAGAAGTTGACTCACCAAATCCCCACTGATACAGTGGGTCTACTGTAGTGCAGCGTACTACGTTACGCATCAGGATTCCAGCCAATAAAATCATGCTCCTGCCTCCATTACTTGTCCTCATTTGCAGATCTGGAGAAACGTGGGAATTCCATGGGACTTCAGCCTGCATCGTGGAACCTGGAACCCTAGCAAATCACCATACTGAAAAAAATTCAAAACAAACAGATGGATGGGCAAGTGGAACTTTTTGAATGACAATTTCCTATCTGGAATGCAGGAAATCAAATTGGAAACAATTATTCAAATTTTGCAGTGCAGGGTACATCAAAACAATTGCCCTGGCTTCCATTCCACATGGGAATCATGCAGGTAGTGCAACACCAAACAACGCTCGCACCCCTTTTAACATGGGGATTTAATTGTAAATAAACAAGAGGATGACATCCAGCATTAAAGTGTTTTCATACACGAGGCTTAAAATTCCCTTCAAATACCTTTAGTATTATTGGAATCATAGAACCGTAGAACTGAAAAAGACTTGAATACTTGAATATTAAAGGAAATATTTTAAAGTGGAAGAAAAAGAGAGAGGTGTTTACTGTATAGATGAGTAACCTGGACAATGCAGGTTCTTCATTGCATTTCTTCATATACTGATTCATTGTTTCAGTTATAAGAGTAATTCAGCAATGCTTTAGCTACTGAAAAATGTTTGAGGTTACTGAAAAGAATTTATTTTTATTTATTTATATACCTCTTTTCCTCTGTAAGAGTGAAATGTTGTTAGGCATCCTTCAGTCTCAAAAGACTATGGTAATGTGCTCTGACTAGAGGTCTTGGAACAGCATCTAGTGTGGCTGAAAAGGCCGATTCGAGAGTGACAATCTCTTCCACACTGAAGACAAAGACAATCTGTCCTCTGTCCAGCTCCCTGGTTTTGCTGGGTTCGGAACTGCCTCTTTGCCTCAGCCTGCTGGACAAAGGTCTCTTCAAATTGGGAGAAGCCATGATGCAAGGCCTGCCTCCAGGCTGAACGCTCAGAGGTCAGGGTTTCCCATCTGTTGAGGTCCATTCCTAAAGCCTTCAGATCCTGCTTGCAGATCTCCTTGTATCGCAGCTGTGGTCTCCCTCTGGGGCGATTTCCCTGCACTAATTCTCCATACAGGAGATCCTTTGGAGTGAAATACGAGTACAAGTAACTTTCTGTTTATAATTCCCACACTGTAGCTCTCTTGCCCAGTAAGTTAAACCACCCAAACCAACATAAACAGAGATTTTTCTTGTTTCTCTTTGGTTGTCATTTCCAGGGGGTGGGGATGACGGAACCTCAATATTCCTTGTCTGGCATAGGTTGAACTCCTGCTTAACAGGTGACCCTCAGGCATCGAGTGCAATTAGAAGCAGGAAAAAACAGTAAACTTGAAAAAAGTTTAAAAGGTGGCACTATAGATGCACTAAGCAGAATAGTTGGGGATGGTATGAGCTGCTGGCTCTCATCATTCCCTCTCACCTCAAGATTAGCTGCTGAGTGGCAATGGCTCAAGAGCCATAATGGCTACTCCCTGCCAAAGCAGGAAAACCACAGATAAAGCATCCTAGATAGGTGGCCATCTCACTTTGTTTGAAAATCTTCAACAAAGGATTGTCCACCACCATTCCAGACAGTTGATTCCCTTGTTGAACAGCTTTCACAGCCCCAGAAATTCTTCTTAATATTTGGGCAGAATCTCCTTTCTTGTAATCTGAATCCATTGCTTCAAAGCAAGGTCACCGAGAATCAGGTGAACAGCATGCTCAAAAGAATCCCACTTTTTTCAGAAGTATAAAAGGAAAGGGGGGGGGAAACCTGGGGAGGGGGCCAACGAAATGGGCAGCCCAACACACCAGACTATCTCAGGTATCACAGAATGTTAGATGCCTCTTTCTGATCCTGCTTCTTCAAGCTAAAGCTGAGCGAAAGAGGTTAAGCTTGTCAGTCTGGAAAGAAAAGGGAGCCACACACACACACACACACACACACACACACCAGAGGAAATGCTGTCTACACCACTGAGTGACTACCACCGCCCAACATAAGGCAGGCTAGCTTGGTGGCTGGAGCCTCAGAGCAGGACAGGAACTGCTATAAATTCTGCAAATGTCAGAAATAGCATCTTTCCCCCTCAATAACATGTAATTTAACAGAGCAAAGAAATAAAATTAAATCCATTGTGCTCAGTATAAAATAATGTCCAGAAAACATCTGCTTTGCATTTAATGTTCAGAAAGCAGCCATCTCTCTTTAGAAGATTTATTCAGTTTCCTTCTGTCCCCTGAGTAAATTGCAACTGGTTGCCATTTCGGCTATGTATCAGATCTTAAGTAGCTGTACTGTCATAGGGTATTTCATGGAGAGCTGGTGTGGCTTATAGGAAATGAAAACATTACCCTTAGAGCAGTGGTCCCCATCCTTGGGGATGTTCAGAAAGCAGCCATCTCTCTTTAGAAGATTTATTCAGTTTCCTTCTGTCCCCTGAGTAAATTGCAACTGGTTGCCATTTCGGCTATGTATCAGATCTTAAGTAGCTGTACTGTCATAGGGTATTTCATGGAGAGCTGGTGTGGCTTATAGGAAATGAAAACATTACCCTTAGAGCAGTGGTCCCCATCCTTGGGGCTCCAGATGTTCTTGTGTGTGTGTGTGTGTGTGTGTGTGTGGCCAGGATTTCTGGGAGTTGAAGTCCAAGAACATCTGGAGGCCCAAGGTTGAGGACCACTGCCTTAGAGGCAGAAAAATAGCCTCCAATAAGATTTTGTGTTTGTGTTTGCATTTGTGTGTGTGTGTGTGTGTTTATGTGTATTTGTTTGAGTGAACAAACCATTCTTCTCCACTGGAGGAGAACTGTGTTTAAACCAGCTCTACCACAGGGGTAAGAAAGTAGCTTGTCTCCCATCCGAGCTAACCCAGCAGGTCAGATGATATTACAGGGCAGGGCCTAAGCACCAGACCAAGCATTTGTCTTGACAGTGTCCGATCCACTCCCAAATATAATTTTCCTGTCTCTGTTTTAAGGGGGGCATAGACTTCAATGACCTCTTCACAAAGCATGCTCCTGCTCTCACATCTCTTCCTTATGCCGTTCATGCTCCCATTGGAGAATATCAACCTAGTGGTGAATTCCACTGCCACCTCCACTCTTAAACTGGTGGTAACTGCAGCTTTGGCCACCCACGGCTCATTTTTCCAACTGGAAGCAGAGGTACCCGGAAGGGTAGGGAACTTAGGAAGCAAGCAAAGCTTTGTGAAAGGAAGAGCTATCCCTCACACTTCTCAGAGGCCAAATTAGATTCATGGGCTAAAGATTTCCCTTCCCAATTCTATGGAATCGTTATTTGCAGTTATGCTCACATTCTGGTATTAATAGGAAACTCTCCCTTGATGTATAGGAGTCCTTTGCACGGGATGCATACATTGACTGATTGATTGGCTGCTGGATTGATTGAGTTATTGATTGATTGATTGATTGACTGACTGCTGGATTGATTGAGTCGTTGGTTTGTTAGCTACATTTATATCCTACCTCTTCTACAGAGAGATCAGGGTACCAGACACGTCATTCCTCCCCTAATTAAGTCAGGCTGAAACAGAGTAACTGAACCAAGGTTCTCCACTGAGTTTCATCGCTCATGGGGAACTGAAACTTTAGCTTTAGTCCAAACATCTAGTCCAGTGGTTTCCAACCCTCCAGTCCAAACATCTAGTCCAGTGGTTTCCAAGATGTCCTTGGACTACATCTCCCAGAAATCCTGACCAACGCAGCTAGTGGTGAAGTCTTCTGAAAGTTTTAGTCCAAGAACATCTGAGGACCCAAGGTTGGGAATCACTGCTCTAATTAATACCCTGTATCGGTTCTCAACCATCATGTCAAAAGCTGAGAAGCAGATATGTCACTGCCTGCCCACCCACTGGTTGAATTTGTGCAGAGTGAGGTGACGGAGATTTTGCACTGTTAGTAGGGTGGTGATGCGTGTGAACTCAACACAGGATACTAGATGCCAACTTGCCTTGCAACACAGCAAGACTATGTAGACTAATTGGCGTTTCTGTGCATTGCAGGAGCTGTTGTGATTGCCTTTGTGGTCTGCTGGCTTCCATATCATGTACGGCGACTTATGTATTGCTATGTGCCAGAAAATCAATGGACAGAGTAAGTAATGATGGGTTTTCTGAATGTTAATGTTGGAATATTTCGAGCAAACTGCAACACCAGCAATCCAATCCTTTCTTTACCACAAAAACACATAGACACATCTCAACTGATTCCTGATCTCTTGGGAGGAAACAGCAATTAGAGGAGGAAACACCCACATCCTGATAGATAAACCAATTAGATAATGGATCAAGCCTTCCTCTTCCTACTCTCTGCTAAGGAGGAAAAGTTTGTTGGGCACGCCAACAGCAATTGCAGTAAATGAGCCAGATTGAAAATGAGGTTAAAGTCCAATCTAGTTCAGCGTTCTGTTCCTATCACAGCCAACCAGGTGCTCTGGGAGACCCCCAAACAAACACAATAGCACCCTACACTGCATGGTTCCTGGCAACTGGCTCCATACAGAGATATACTTGCCTCTGAAACTAGCCATCATGACTAGTAGCCCTGATAGCTTTACCTTCTGTGAATTTGTAAAACAAAAACAAAGGACCCTCTTTTGAAGCCAAATGGGTTTGCAGTCCTCTGTACATCTTGTAGCAGTGAATTGCATTCTATGACTGTTCAGCAGACAGATCCACTCTGGAGATCTCACAGCCACTAAATCCATCTGATCAAAATGGAACATCCTAACGTGCAGAAGAGAACGAGTCCAATTACGACTGGGCTGGGGCAACTGCCTGATGAGGAAAGGCTACAGCGTTTGGGGCTCTTGAGTCTAGGGAACATGATGGAGATGGATAAAATGATGCAGGCGATGGATAAAGTGGATAGAGATACCAGAATCAGGGGACATCCACTCCAGTTGAGTGTAGAGAGAGTGAGAACAGACAAAAGAAAAATGTTCTTTACCCAACCTATTGTTAGTCTGTGGAACTCCTTGCCACAGAATGTGGTGACGGCATCTGGCCTAGATGCCTTTAAAAGGGGATTGGACGGATTCCTGGAGGAAAAGCCCATCACAGGTTACAAGCCATGATGGAGATTATAATCTCCAGTCTTAAAAGGAAGGTACCTCCAAATGCCAGATGCAGGTGAGGAGTATCAGGAGACAGAGATCCAGTTGTCTCGTGTGCTCCCAGAGTCATCTGGTGGAACCACTGTCAGATACAGGAAGCTGAACTAGAGGGGCCCTTGGCCTGATCCAGCAGGGCTCTCCTGATGTTCTTATGTAAAGGAACACCAAGTTGCCTGACCCTCAAGCAGAGCCTGGAAGCTTGACTGGGACAAGTAATCTAAAAGCACTCCACCATCCATGGCTGTTTGTTCTCTTAGGGCTCAGTTGTCAATGGGAAACATTTATCTGGATAGTTCAGTGGTTTAGGTCTCTGGCCACAGAGCGAGAGATTGGGAATTCGATTCCCCACTGGTCCTCCTTAACTCAATGATCCGTAGGGTCCCATCCAGCTCTGCAGTTCTAAGATTATTATTAGAGATCATCCAAGGAGGTCAGAGTGCACAAATCTAACACAGGACTCTGTAGACAGTATCTCATTGAGCTTCTGCTGGGCAAAAAGTCCTGTTAGCATAGTAATGTACGATTACGCCACTTGTGCAAGCACTGGTGAGGTTGTCTTCAAGGAGGGCATGTTTTCTTCATGGAGACCGCCGTCTGTGCAATGATGCTACTTGTGCAAGCAGTGAGATCCACATGACTACACTTAAGGGTGTTTCCCTTTGATAGAAGCATAATAGCACCCTGGTGGAATTCCCTGGGTCTGAAGTATAAAACCTATCTAGGAGGAATGAGGGGAAAAATAGGCAGGAGTCTTGCTCCAAAGTGGTCAAAAAGAGCAGCAATGTCAAAAAACAAAAAAGCAGACCTAAGATCTAAGTCACATTTCTGCTGTGTGAGTAACAAGAGATCATTGACTGTTTTTGAGAAGAACAGTATTTCTCCTCCCTCGCCACTCTCACCCCACCCTACCCAGTTTCCCTGACATTTCTTGAGTTTTGTGATGGGGGAAATGATTTCAAAGTTTCACCCACATTTTACATAGTTTCAGATTTCTAACCACACATAGCTATCCTGTTTATGGGCTCCTACAAAGCAGTACGATGGACCCCATGAAAGCCACAGCTTGGAAAATAAGGGTTTGGACAGCTGGTCTCAGAACTGGGAGAGACTGGAAGTTCTTGTCCAAAAAAGCAACTTCTCAAAGTTCTGATGTGAACAGATGAAGCTGTCCCATAAAAGAGATGGACCACTGCAATCATCCTACCCCGTTGTATCTCTTCCAACTGGCAGTGGATCTCGGGGATCTCTGGGTCCAGTTGCTCCCCTCTTCCAGTTGCAGCTTCCTAACTTATGATCCATTGGATGGAGACACCAGGGACTGAACATTAAACGTTCTTCAAACAAGAACACATGTGCCATCTCCCATTGAGCAATGATCCAATCTCAGCAGCCAGAAGGTGAAATAAGGGAAAGGACTCTGTGGCCTCCTTGGGGGTCTCAATACTCACCCACACCCCCATCCAATCTCAGCAGCCAGAAGGTGAAATAGGGGAAAGGACTCTGTGGCCCTGAAGACCCAGGTGGCCTCCTTGGGGGTCCCAGTACTCCCTCCCCAGCACCCACACCCCAAATTCTTCTCTCTCTTTTTACTTTATTCCCCCACTTTCTATAGCTCCCCATAACATAGCTTTTGTATTTGGGATTATATCTGTATTTACCAAATTTTTGCTGATGATTCATCCATTCACTTATTTGGGATATTTATATTCCATCGTTGAGCCAGGAACTCTCCTTCCTGGGCATACACTAAATGGCTCCTCTTCCATTCAAGCTTACATTCTAAAAAAGTCATCACCCAAAAGGAAAACAAGAGGGGAGGGGAAAGGAAAACAAGGAAACTCATGCACCTGTTTATAATGTTAGAAGGTTCTTATAAGAGCCAATTGTATTGGTGCTATAATGGCCGTACAGTGGGCCACTGTGAAGGTCAGTCTGCCATGATCAAGATGATCCCTACTGTTCCTGCTGTCTTATATTTTCTCGTTCAGCTTAGAGCATCTTCCTTTTGTTCTCTTCCACCAGCTTCCTTTATGATTTCTACCATTACTTCTACATGCTGACCAACATTCTCTTCTATGTAAGTTCGGCCATCAACCCGGTCCTGTACAACCTGGTCTCTGCCAACTTCCGCCAAACGTTCCTCTCCACCCTGATGTTCATGTGCCTGCCGTGGAGGAAGAAGAAGAAAAGAACCAAGTTCAACAGGAAGTCCAACAGTATCTCAAGCAACCACACCTTCTCCAGCCAAGTGACCAGAGAAACCACGTACTGAGGTTTGGGCTTTGCTCAGGAAGGAAAGGAAATGTGTCTCAGTCCATGACAGAAGGAGAACTTGGGCTGAGGGCTCTGCCACTTTTTTTTTACATGGCCTCCGAATTCACCATAGCATGAATGTGTTTATTAGCTGGGTGTCATACATTGGAACAACTAGGTGTCTTTTCTACGAGTCAGCGTTGGGATTCTGTTATTGCATTGGCCTCTGCCTGTTGTCAGTAATGTCTCCATGTGTTGTTGTTTTGATCCAGCATAGACCTCGCCTGTGACGTCATCCAGGAAGCTGTAGCATTTATGGAGTCAATGTTGGCCAACGCTTGAATGCCTCTTGTGCTGCAGTCCATCCATTTCTCAGTTTAGAAGTGACACAGGGACACCCTTCTTCATAAGAAGGGCTCACTGGCCACTGACCAGTAGTCCTGAGATTCTAAAAGGATCCTGAGGCTGGACAGGTGTTAGGGTCAGATTTTGGCTTTGTTTGCTTTTTTAAAAGTGAAAATGGGTTGTTGGCTCTTTTTTTAGGATGGGCAAAGGGGAAAAAAACTTATTCCATCCAGTTCTTTATGGAAAGAGGAATGTAAACTGTTTAATAAAGAAGGGCATGCAATACTCAGGGAATGAGGTTATTATTGTATTTTGGAATCTGGTCTGAATCCAGATTCCGTAGCCAGTGTGCAAGAGAACCAGTTTGACCCTCTTTTCTTTCACAGCAGGGAATGCTGTGGCGAGTCCATGGTGCTATCTTGGATTTAGCTTTGGAGAACAGCATTTCAGCCTTGCTTGAGCCAGAAGATAGGCTCTCTCTTCCCTCCTCATCCTTATTTTATATGTGCCTGGTATGGCAGAGCCTCTTTCCTTGATCAGTGTTTCTAAACAATGTTAAAGCATAGGGTATCTTTTCACAGAAGAAGAATAAGAATCTTGGCAAAGAGGCCTGCCAAAAAACAGCATAGTTACTCTAATAAACACGATTTGTATTTTTTTATATATATACAGTTGACACGTATGCGGGATTGAGGAGATGCCAACAATTTTGATTCTCTGTCAAGTTCTCCTGATACATACATAGAAGTGGGCAACACATGTTGAGGGTCAGCAATATGCCTGATGACGTAGACCGGACATGTATCTTCCGTAGTCTGTAATTTCCAGAATCCCTTGGCATTTGGGGGTTGCAGTCCAGAAAGGTAACTGTTCTGGGCTCTAATACACACTTACAATAGAGAGGAGTAATAAAGGGTGCACTCCCAGAGCTTTCAAGACAACAGTGGAGAAACGGCTGAGACAAAAAGGTAGGGAATTGTAAGTGGAAAGTAGGTACAGTATGCCGTGGAAGACTGGGATGAGTTTGATTGGAGAGCTGTGACTGAGGCATTTAAGGGGAGGGGGCTAGAGACCATACTCTCTTATTATTGCTGCATTTGCAATCCACCTTTCTCCCAAGGAGGTCAGGAAGTACGCATGCTCTCTACTCAGCATCCCTTTTATCCATCCGAATAAGGCTGCGAGGTCAATTAAGGTGAGAGACAGCAATCAACCTTAGGTGACCCAGTAAGTTTCACAGCAGAGCAGCATATTAATTCTCCTATTACTCTGTCGATCTCCTCAGAAGCAGTGTCAGCTCTTCATCACGCAGAATACATACCATTCCCCAGAAGAAGGGAATGGTAAATCACTTCTAAGTACTCTTATGTCTAGAAAGCCATGAGAAGGGCCGCCATAACTTGGAATTAATGTGACAGCATGTAATTAGGTGGCACGAGCTGAAACAGAAGGGAGGAAGCAATATATGCAACTGATGTAAATGGTTTAATGAATTCAGGAAGGCTAGGTAAAGTTATATCAAGAACAAAGAAGTTTGGGGGTAAGAAACATCCCCCAGTCAAAATCAACAATGTGGGAAATATTAGCAATTCCCTTCAGGAAAGAATCCAAAACACTAACCATATTTTCCTCCTGGCATATTTATGTAAGCTGTCTAGTGACCTTTTCTTGGGGCCAAGAAGCAGCTTACACGTTTATAAATAAATAAAAATTCAGTTTGCTGTAGTTAAGAATTCAAACACGCTGTGACCAAAATCACAGAAAGATATAATCTTAGAGCAATGGAGTTGGAAGGGGCCTATGTCTAACCTCCTGCTTGATGCCTCCGATTCAGTCAGTTTGCCGGTGTAACATATTTTTAATGATGGGAAAACTTGTTACTAATAAAGATGCTAAAGCATCTATTTTTAAAAAAGATTGTGACAAAGTAAACAAATATATCCTTGGGATTTAAAAAGTCTCAAGTTGAATATACAGCCTTACAGCTGAAAATGAGTTAGCAGTACTCTTTGTACAAAGCAAAAAGGTCACAAAAGGAATTTGAGATATATAGTTCAATACTGTCTGTAGGCTGGACTGTACATTACAGGTAACCTGTTACTGGAAGATGGAATTCCTTAACTGATGAAAGCATCTGATTGCCACAACAAGAGCCTTTCCCACTTCCCAAATTTGCAAATTAGCTTGCTTTGTTTTGTGATTGGTCTTTGTGAGTTACACCCTGCTTTGTTTTGTGACCATGACTGTTCAATTATGAAGATGTCGCTAAGTCACCTCCCTCATACACTAATGTGATTTCAGCTCTAATAACAGGTTATATGCCAAATTGAGTTTGACCCTCAATTCACAAAGAAGTAAATGCAACACATTTTCAACAAAGACTAATCTCAGGTAAGTGTTGGCAAGCCATACTGAGTTTGGCAGCCATATTGGATTTAGTATCCATATTGGGTTTGGTAGCCATATTGGATTCATGAATTACCTCATGATCTGACAGAGGAAGATAAAAGAACTTATCAGAACCTTCTCATTCCCCTGAAAGATATCAATCCTCCAGTACTTTAGGCACATTTCATTTATTTGTTTGTTTTTGTTTCGAGCTCCAAATTCCAAAATTCTGCATTTCCAGCAAACATAAGGACAACATCCTTTTCTAATATCAGGAGACAGGAATCTATCCTGTTTCCCCAAAAATAAGACCTAACCTGAAAATAAGCCCTAGTAGGATTTTTCAGGATGCTTGTAATATAATTCCTACTCCAAAAATAAGCCCCAGTTAAGTGAAACCCCGCCCTCCATCATTGTGCAGCAACCAGAAGAAGATGACATGACTACATTTGAATAAATGTAGATGGTTGTACATAAAAAAAAATAAAACATCCCCTGAAAATAAGCCCTAATGCATTTTTGGAGCAAAAATTAATATACGTAAGATCCTGACTTATTTTTAGGGAAACACAGTAGTTGTCTCATCTTCTGATGTTCTTATGTAATAGATACAGAGGTTGGAGCTCAGCCTCTCCTAGGCCAAGAAACCTTCCATCCCAACCTTTCTCCAGGTGGGCACAATATAAGTGTGTCTCTAGTAGGCAACTAGGGCCATAGTGGTGCTGTGGGTTAAACTGCAGAAGCCTCTGTGCTTCAAGGTCAGAAGACCAGCAGTCGTAAGATCAAATCCATGCGACGGAGTGAGCTCCCGTTGCTTGTCCCAGCTCCTGCCAACCTAGCCATTCGAAAGCATGTAAATGCGAGTAGATAAATAGGTAGCACCACGGTGGGAAGGTAACGGTGTTCCATGTCTAGTCATGCTGGCCACGTGACCACGGAAACTGTCTACGGACAATGCTGGCTCTGCGACTTGGAAACGGGTATGAGCACCGCCCTCTAGAGTCAGACACGACTGGACTAAATGTCAAGGGGAACCTTTATCTTTACCTAGCAGACAAAACTCTCAGAATTAGGAATTCTAGGATTTAGATTTTTTTAAAAAGGTACATCCCTATGCAATCATCTCCTGCAAGGAACTAGTGCAGAAGCTGGAGAATTATCACTTGAGCCCAGAAGATAAGCGATGGTCCCTTTTGTGCATTACACTTTCCTGAAATCCTCCAGCCATTATGGGCATGGATATAGCAGAGGATTATATCTTGTTAAAGGGCCATGCTTTTATCATCTAAGTAATATACAGAGGAGGGACTCAACCTTGTGTTTGCTCCAGGTGGCAAAACAGCAGCAGCAGCTTACATTGCTACAGAAAACATGTCCCCGCTTTCTTGCAGCAAATGGAGGGCAAGTAAAAGATAGGCCAGCTTCATTGTCGTTGGTCTTTTAGTCATTTAGTCGTGTCCGACTCTTCGTGACTCCATGGACCAGAGCACGCCAGGCCGTCCTGTCTTCCACTGCCTCCCGGAGTTGTGTCAAATTCATGTTGGTCATATGACACTGTCCAACCATCTCATTCTTTGTTGTCCCTTTCTCCTCTTGCCTTTACACTTTCCCAGAATCAAGGTCTTTTCCAAGGAGTCTTCTCTTCTCATGAGATGGCCAAAGTACTGGAGCCTCAGCTTCAGGATCTGTCCTTCCAGTGAGCACTCAGGGTTGATTTCCTTTAGAATTGATAGGTTTGTTCTCCTTGCAGTCCAGGGGACTCTCAAGAGCCTCCTCCAGCACCACAATTCAAAGGCATCA